GGAGGATGGTTAATAGGAAATTCACCATAAACAAGGGTAAAGTTTGTTATGCACATTGAAATCTGCAACTTAACCTTTAGTATTTCAGATACCATTGATTCTCTTGTAATTTAGGGTCATACTTCTCTTCCTTTATAAATATAATTCCCCTTCCAAAAAGGTAACTTAATCTTTTCAGAGTTTTTCCTATGTTTGCTGTTTCTCAGTTGGCTCAAAATAATCTATGCTATCTGTCCATTCCTTAACTGGATTATTTGGTTTTTGGGTGTTGAGTTTGATAAGTTCTTTATAGATCTTGTATACTAAGCCTTTATCAAATATGTCATTTGCAAATATATTCTCCCAGTCAGAGAAAGAGAAATACCATATGATTGGACTCATACGTGGAATTTAAGAAACAAAACAGATGAACATGGTGGGGGTAGCGGGGGAGAGGCAAACCATAAAACAGATTCTTAACTATAGAGAACACACTGAGGGTTGCTGGACGGGAGGTGGGCAGGTTTAAATGTGTATGGGTATTAAGGAGGGCACTGTGATGAGCACTAGATGGTGTATGAATCACTAAATTCTACTCCTGAAACTAATATTACTCTATATTTTAACTGGAATTTAAGTAAAAACTTGAAATAAAAACAAACAAATAAATAAATATCTATGCCAAAGAGGCATATTTTGGGATGGCGTATTCTGATTCCCTTCACTACATGCTAACCCTAGATGAATAAGTGCCTTCTATTTAGTTTCTACAACACTAAAATTTGAATACTGGTATTTCTCTCCCTTTTTGTTAAAATTGTTATGAAGAGTATGGGACATAATGGAAGGGAAGGTATGTAAATGGTACAATCCATACAAATGCAAATTAATGGTAGAATTATTTGTAATATTATATTGTAAGCTTCTTAAGGGGCTAGATTAGGCTTTAATGAACATTACACCCATGACAATGCTTAGCATAGTACTAACCAGTGAATTTAATGGCTGCTCAAAAAAATAAAATAAAAATTTCCTAAATGAAATAAAAGGATGAAAAGGAATGATGGTGTTTAGCTCTTTTTTACCTGTAGTCCCAGTTAAGATTTGGTGACTTCCTTGCATCTGTGGAAGATTTCAAGTGCTGACTCATGCCATATATCCCCTTTAACAAAATAATCATTTTGAAGGAGATAAACAAAGGACTTGGAGATTGGGCAGCTTTCCATTTGTTATTTCTAAGATAAGCCATTCCCAGATTTTTTCAAATTTTCTCACTTTGGTACATAGACAGAATTTCTGAAATCAGTTTTGTTGTTTTTTTTTTTCCCTAGGAGAACAAATTTATGAAATCGTGTATCACTACATAGACATACTGTAGCTGGTGAAAAACTGTTATAAATGGGAAACTTTTTTTTTTCTTTTCATCTTTGGGTTTTCTCTGTGTGGTACAGATGTTGAGCCTTGTGAAATATACAGTTTAGTACTTTGCATTGCAAATAGAGTACAAGTAAGAGAACTTTGATAACTTTTATGCCTAGCAAGTCTCTGGCAGGAGTCTGTTTTGTTTAGTAAGAGAGACTAGCCAACAAAATACTCATTTTCATTCTGTGCTAGGAAATGAAAAGTATTGTCTTATTTCTGCAACTCAAAATGTTTAACACTTTATTAGTAGTCAAAGTTATATGGTGATAGTCTCAAATGTATATGTAGCATTATATGAGATCCTTTTGTTGGTAAAAAGAAATTACCAGAAATGCATTAATTCTTTCAGTCTATTGAGGTTAAAATAGATTTGAGGTTTGAAAAATTTAAAGATTATTAGCTGGAAGGAGGTTGTTGTGTTGCTAATGTGAATGCTAATATTTAAGTAGCGTAAGAAAGAACATAGGTAGGGTCCTGTCTCACTTTTAAAATCACATTGTATCCAGTAAGTGTCAGCTGCAAAGTAATTTTCCTGAAATTGTCTGAAAAAAAAAAAAAAGTGGTCTGTTTTTCTCTATTGACTTCCATTGTAAAACGAAAGCTATGTTCCCCTCAAAAATAAATTTGACCCCAAGTTATAATAAAACATACTGAAGAATTCAGAAAATCTTAAATATAAGATTTATAGTTTTAGGAATTTTTTTTAAGATTTCATTTATTCATTTGGCACAGAGAGAGAGATCACAAGTAGGCAGAGAGGCAGACAGAGAGAGAGGAGGAAGCAGGCTCCCTGCCAAGCAGAGAGCCCGATGTGGAGCTCGATCCGAGGACCCTGATATCATGACCCAAGCCGAAGGCAGAGGCTTAACCCACTGAGCCACCCAGGCACCCCTTAGGAATTTTATATATTTATATTTGTAAATTTTAAGATTAATCTTAAAATCATAAAATTGATTATTTCAAAACCCATTTATCAGTGTCTGATAAAGTAATACTACCATAATATATTAATACATTATAGTGGACCTTACTATAGCATGCCCCAAACCGTGCTGTTATCCTTCTTTTATAATTCTAAGTATTTTACCTTTTTACATAATGACATTTTACTTCGGTGATCATTGATTTTTTTTTTAAATATTTTATTTATTTATTTATTTATTTATTTGACAGAGATCACAAGTAGGCAGAGAGGCAGGCAGAGAGAGAGGGGGGGGGAAGCAGGCTCCTCACCGAGCAGAGAACCCGATGCAGGACTCGATCCCAGGACCCCTGAGATCATGACCTGAGCCAAAGGCAGGGGCCCAACCCACTGAGCCACCCAGGCACCCTCATTGATCTTTTTTTAAATTTAACTCTAATTTTTTTTAAAATTTTATTTATTTATTTGACAGAGAAAGATCACAAGTAGGCAGAGAGGCAGGCAGAGAGAGAGGAGGAAGCAGGCTCCCTGCTGAGCAGAGAGCCTGATGCAGGGCTCGATCCCAGGACCCCGAGATCATGACCTGAGCCGAAGGCAGCGGCTTAACCCACTGAGCCACCCAGGCGCCCCTAACTCTAATTTTTAAAGGTGGATTTGGTTTCCTTTATTCTTCATTGTTAGCCTACTTACCTTTCTCTGAAGCATTCTTACCAATTGCATTAAAAAGTTATTAGCCATGAAAGAAAGATTAGAATACTCAAAAATGTTCACAATATTTGCTTCTGAGTTATTGAAAATTTTAGTGTATTTGTTTTTGTTTTCTAGGTCACCAAAAGAGTTTTTTGTTTTTTTTTTTGTTTTTTTTTTTTTTGAGAGAGAGATTGGGTTGCCTGGGTGGCACAATCAGTTAAGCATCTGACTCTTGGTTTGGGCTCAGGTCATGATCTCAGGGTCCTGAGATTGAGCCCTGAGGTGGGATCTGCACTCAGTGCAGATTCTGCTTGGGATTCTCTTGGGCAGGAGAGAGAATCTCGACACTCAGAACCACACCACAGGGCTCCATCTCATGACCCTAAGATCATGACCTGAGCCAAAATCAAGAGTCAGAAGCTTAACCAACTGAGCTACTCAGGTACCTTTGAAGAGTTAATTTCCTATATCTGTATCCTCTATAATCAGGAAGAAAGTACTGTAATTTATTTCTTTAGGGATAAATTTATATACAATGATACCTTTAGTCAGACACATTTACATATTTGATTCATTTATATTTTGGTACTGGTTGTTATCATTTTTTTGATAACATTGTAAAAACAAGGATATAATTAATTTCTGGATAAACAGCTTTTCTACAGCATACTACTCAAAGTGTATTCAGGACTGGCAGCCTCAGTATCACCTGGGAACACATTAGCAATCATAATTCTCACGCTCCCGGGCTCAGTCCCAGCAAACAGCAGTCTGGGTTTTAGCAAGCCCTTTGAGTGATTAAGGTTCTAGCGCTATACCAGAACTCTCCACCTCTTTCCCATCTCCTTTTCTCCCTCTTCCTTTCTCTTCATACCTTCCTCTTGCCTTCTCTCCTCCTCTCTCCCTCTCCTTCCTCTCTTCATATAGGATAAGCATGCATGTATACACACACACACACACACACACACACACACACACAGCCTATATATTAGAATTCACTGTAACCTCTCTCTAAATAGAATATGTGTATTTAAAAAGAGAGTATTTTTTTCTAAGTTTTTTGATTTTGTTTCTTCCCTAGCTTGTTCATTAAAAGATAACTGAGGCAGTTTTCTGGTATTTGTATTTATATGCCTTCACTTAGCAAACATGTTTTATATGGTTATAAATTAGATAGTTTTTTTTAAAGATTATATTTATTTAATTCATGAGAGACAGAGAGAGAGAGACAGAGGCAGAGGGAGAAGCAGTTTCCCCACTGAACAGGGATCCCAAAGTGGGACTCTTTTCCAGGACCCTGCGATCATGACCTGAGCTAAAGGCAGGTGCTTAACCATCTGAGTCACCAAGGCATCCAAAAGATAACTGAGGCAGCTTTCTGGTATTTGTACTTATATGCTTTCATTTAGCAAACATGTTTCACATGGTTAAACATTAGATAGTTCTGCCTAATTTACAGATTTCTAGAACTCATTAACCAATATAATGACTCTAGCAAGTTATCACAGACTGAATTGTGTCCCTGCAAAAATTCCTATGTTGAAGCCCTAACCCCCAAAATCTCAGAATGTGACTGACTGTATTTAGAGATAGGGTTTTAAAGAGGCAATTAAGTTAAAATGAGGTCCTTAGGTTGTACCCTACTCCAATATGACTAGTGTCCTCATAAGAAGAGAACATGAGGACACAAACACAGGCAGAGGGACCAACATGTGAGGATATAGTGAGAAGGTGGCCATCTATAAGCTAAGGAGAGAGGCTACAGAAGAAACCAAACTTGTCAACACCTTGATATTGAATGTCTGGCCTCCAGAATTGTAAGAAAATACATTTCTATTGTCTAAGCTACCCAGTCTGTGGTATTTTTTATGATGATTATTGCAAATTAATACATAAGTATTTATAAAAATGATGGTATACTTCAATCTTAATATCTGGTGATTGCCTTTAAGGTACTATTGGGTCATGTTCCTTAACAGAAAGCTACAGCTTTACAAAGAGTGCCAGAGACCAGTATGAAAAACTGTTCACCATGCACAATAACATGCTAAAGCTCTATGAGAATCTTGGAGAATACTTTATTTTTGACTCTAAGACAGTGAGCATCGAAGAGTTCTTTGGTGATCTCAGCAACTTCCGAACTTTGTTTCTGGTGAGTAATACATCTTAAAGGATTGCAAGCCCTGTTGCTTGTGTTTTTTAAGTAGTCTCTTCTGTTAGCATTTTATGTACCTATTGATCATATTGACTTCATATTATAGGCCTTTAGCAGGAATTGACAGATATTTTGTACCTGTGACATAGATAAAAATGGTTGGCTGGCTTAATATATAATGGAGACTTAAATGAATTATCTTCAACTTTAGATATATATGGGAATTTCTCTACTGAAATTTTGTAAGAATGAACGAATTGGTACTTAAATTATGTTAATTTTTATGTAGCATAGTATTGTAATTTGACCTAGCTTAAAAATTAATATCTAAAGTCATCTTTCACTTAATACATTAAAATGCTATGATTTGTGAGCAAGTTTTTGTCATAGTCTATATAAGAAATCAGCTCTAAATTAGACTATATAAATGACCTGTAATATTCAAATTTTCTTTCATAATGTAGGCTCCTGTTTCAAACTATAACTCTTGGGGATAACAGGAAATATTAGCATTAATTAGAGATGGGTAGTCAGGGTGCCAGTTATGAAGCTAGAGGGAAGCAAAAGCTTTACTGTATAAATGTTGTGGAAGTAGTCCTCTGCATCCAGTGAAAAAGTAGAAGAGCACAGACTCTGATTATGATAGTGATAGATATGTGTAATAGTTGATACCAAATAAGTAAGGTTTCATGTATTTTAAAGAACAAATTCTAGCAATTATCCCCAACAGGAAGATCAATTAGCAAACAAATTCATTGCAGTTTGAGATACGTTTCTATTCCCAAAGCAGTTATTTGCTAAATAAGGCTTGCTCTATTAATTGAATATATTGCGCCATGAAATTGTTGGATTGGGGTATGACTTGCACAGTCTGTGAGATACAGATACTTTTGTGAAAAGCGTTTGTTTTTATCTACTGAGCTAGGACATATAACCCAGAGCACATCCTATTTTTGGTGATAGAAGCTTAAAAAGGCTTTCATAAATATGATCATTTGTCTCTTTTTTTCTGAGAATCTTAGCTTATTTTGGTCTCTGGTCTTTACCCCTTAATAGACACACATATTTAACTTTTTAGCTGGCTAGTAAGTAGTAAAATGTGTTCTGGCAATGACTCACCCAACTATTTTCAAAACTTAAAAGCTATAAGTATGACATGAACCTGTGCATACCTACATTATATCTACTTGGACTATTTTCAAGAAGAAAACAAATATGTTGAAAAGGAATGGAGATTAGAAAATACACTTAAGTAGACACACTGAAAAGATAAGTCCAATAAGTTATTTTGTAACATCAGTGTGGGTAACTGGATGTAATTATACTTAACTATTGTCAATCTCTTATTAAAAAGTGCCTTGTTTTAGTAGATTCGATGTGAAAACACTTGTCACATTAGTGGCCCTCACCTCCCTGATACAGTCATAGAATAGAATTTGATGTACTCCCATTTTATAGCATCTGTTTAAGGACAATTCCTGTGTGGCAGCCTGTTGCTTTGAAATCTTGCTAAGAACTAGAACTAGAATTGTATTACTTCTCAATCATAAGTTTTTTTGTTTTTGTTTTTTGGTGGTTTTTTTTTTTTTTTAAGTGATGATGTAATTTTTAAGAAGACCTGATTCAGTGACCAGGCGTTGTCACTAATAAGCTGTGTGAATTTATATAAGTCATTTATCTTTTGTAGCTACTTATTTTTTTAACTAAAATGAAGTGATTTTACTCCTGATCTCTAAGAATTTATTCCTCTTTAGAAGTCTGTGAGCCACAGAATTGCAGAGTCATGTGAATTACATACATAAATAGGATATATTTGTCTACTGACTTCACTGTATGTATAGCTTGAGTACAGGAAAGTATTTTGTCACAAATTATTCTCATTGTAAGTAAGTTGACATTCTGAAGTCCAGTTTCATGTACATTTATGTTAATTTCTTGAGATCCTGCTAAGATTGATTTTAAAGCTTTCAAAATAGGTAACTATCTCCTATAATGTGTCCTGGTCAACCACTGCTGTCTGCCTTTCAGAACACTATTACTATCATTTTTATCTGCAAATCATTATTGACTTGCTGGCATGAGAGCCAAGTGTGCAGCTTATTAGTTGTTTTGAACTTGGGTCGGTTAGGTAACCTCTCTGGGCATCAGTTCCCTCATTTGTAAAATACAGGTGATAATTCCTGAAATATCTTTCTCAACACTATGTGAAAACACCTTATAACCTATGCTATGTGGATGGAGAATATTATTAGTCATATTCTACCCATCCATTTGATGATTATTTATTGAGAACTGTTTTGATTTTGGTAATGCTCTAGTCCAGAGACAAAAGGAAAATAATAGTCTCTATCTATGAATGAAAAGAGACAGGTAAGTAAATACAATGTAATTTGATAGTGCTGCCTTAGGAGTATCAAGGTGCTATAGTAATGCAAGGGAAGAACTGCCTAACCTTGCCTGAGCTGGCCTGAGGATCCTTGACGGAGAAAGTGACATTTGGGCAGACTCTGGAAAAACCCATAGGTGTTTGACCAGTAGACTTTGACAAGCAGATTTAAAGCTTTTACACCTTACATATAACAAGCTGAACACTCCTAAATCAACATCACCAACTTCAGTCAATCATGTTCACCATGTTCCTGTTTCATAGTGAACATGAAGTGATTTCACTCTCCCAGGGGAGGGAAGAACCCAGAAAGAGAGACAAAAATTGTGATCTCCAAAAGTTCCCATTTTGTTAGTGTTTTCTGTATTTGGCCTCAGGGTTCCTACTGCTAAAAGCATATTGGACTATACATGGAAGCAATAAAATACCAGTATTGCTGAGAAGAAAATAAGAGTTCTGATTCATATGCTACCAAAAATTACTTCCAGATGAGCTCAGAGTTTCATCCTGGGAGATCTATTTGGCATGTGTAGCATAAACAAAATGCACATAGCAAAAAATCTTCCTCAGAGAGATATCATCTAAAGGATGGAGAAAATGGAAATAAACAAAAGGGTTTGACATTATGGATTAAGATCTTTTTCAAAATAATCACATTCAAATTAATGGAAGCAAAATTGGGTAATCTCTGTGAGATGCTGCTATATTAATTATTCATATCATTCATGTTATTTATTACTCAATTGAGGATGTTAAACATATTCAAGATGAGTGTCCTGTATATTAGCATGAAGATATATGTAATTGGAAACATTTCTAAATTCAGAATTAAGTCTCTCTTTCTAGTTAGCTTCCTGACATCATCAGAGTTCAAAAAACCGTTTATAATATATTCAAGATTAATTAATAATCCCTAAATTTATGTTGAATATTGTGTAGAAGAAAATAAAATTCCACATTTATAGAAGGTCTAGACCTCTTTTTTTGCTTATTCTTCTTTATGCTTCAGTTAGTTCAAATAGTTGGCTACAGTCTTTTTTCTTTCGAAATACTTTGAATAGAATATCCAAAATCTGAACCTTATGTTTCACTGCCATGCAGTACCTTGCTTAGGCATAAAAATTAATTTCAGCTGTTGGGAAAGTGTTTGAAGCAAGTATTATACTTTAGTAACCTTCATAGCTCCAAATAAATTATAGAAAATATTTCTTTTGTCTTTTAAATCTGTCAGTATCCTATGGATTCTGTATGTTTTTGTTTTATTTTTTAAAGACCAGTATGTTACCCAGGCACACAATTTATTTTTGTTTTGTGTATGTTCTCTTTCTATATCTTATACATTGGACATACAGGCAAAAGGCTTTATAGAATTAATAGATTCATTTACATAACTTAAGAAGAAAACATTATCATTATTATTAATCATGCTGGAAGATTTCCCCTCAACAAAATAAGTATTTGCTGCTATTCATTTGATAAATAAACTTTAACATTTTTTAATCAGAATTTCCTTTAACAATTTTTGAATAGCTCTTAGATGAATATTAAAATGATTAAGTCTTAGGAGGCTAAGTGATAGCTGCATTTATATCATCATTCAGTCTTCTTGCTTCTATCTCCTAAATGTCTTACAATCCATTCATTTCTTTCAAGCCCACTGATGCTATTTAGTTCTGGGCCTCTACCATCTCTCAGCTAGACTATTATAATGATGTTCTGACTGGTATCTTTGTCTGCTTCTCTTTTAGTTCTAATCCATTTGCCACATTAAAGTCAGAATAAAACTGAAAACAAAACAAAGAAGACAGTGTTACTTTCCTGACTTAAAATTCTTTAATGAATTCTCTGTAGCCTCAGGATGAAATCTAAATTGTTTAAAATGAAAGTGGCTTCTAAAATCAAAAGAAGTATGGTTGCTTACAGACCAGACCATCTAGGCTTGTCTGACTGAGCCATAATCACTTAATGTGAATTATCCTCCCAGGCTGGCAAAGGTGAAGTATGAAAGTGGAAGCAGCAAAAGAAGACAACACCAAGTGTCTAAGGGGACCTGAGCCTCTTAGAACAGAGAGAAACTTTGGGAGCACAGTATTAAAACTAAATGAAGGCTTAAAGGCAAACGTGTGACTGTCATTATGCCTTAATTGTTCCCATAGCTAGTATGGCATGGGGAGTTCTAAAACTGAGATTATTCTTATCTTAATTCTCATTTAGGGGTGATCTTCCTTCTATCATAAGTAATTGTCCTTTCAAAATCTAAGCTTGCATGAGAGCTATGTACCTATCTTGGTTGATGGAGTTATTTAATTTTGAGAACCTCTCATTTCTCTCAAGCCGTCTTCCTCTTTATAAGGCCTCAATCATGTCTAAATCCAAAATATAATTGAAAAGCCAAAGTGAACACCTGTAGTCCGTTAGACCCAAAAGACTAAACTGATATATACAGAACATTTTTATTCATTCATTACAGGAAATTTGCCTTTAAAGGAATGAGGATGGATTTTTGCATAAAAAGATTGTGTATATATAATTTCTGATCCAAGAAGACTAAGTTATTTTGACACATTTTTAAAGCTTCAATTTACAAAGTACTTGACATTTAAAGGAAACT